CCTCCTCCTCCTCCTCCTCCTCCTCCCGGTGGCCACGAGGACGACGAACAGGAAAAACTGACGGCCGTCGCCGCCGTCGTCGCGTTTAAACTCGCCCGCCGCCGCGCGCCACGCCCTCGGCGTTCCCGGAAGCGCTTCGCGGTGGTTCGGCCACGGCGGGGCGGGTGTTCCCTTCTCACACCTCAGCGACGGCACCGCGCGGACGCACCCAAAGGAGAGTCAACACCGAGTTTAATTGCGGCAAACACGGGGTGGGGCGGGGGGGGGGGGCACTCTGACCCTCAGGATTCCGTTGACTTTTGCACACGGTGGTGAAATCGTGACGTGAATATTGCACTGTTAAAAGATTATATGGGGAATTGGAATGAATGCGGGTGCATCGCAGTCACTTACTGAAATATTCATCACACGGTAAAAATCGCCCGTATAAGCAAAAGTGCTGAAGGGGTCACTGTATAGCTTCTACGGTAAAATTCAACCAAAGCTTTTATTTGTGTGTCTGGCGCGAATATTTTGACTTTTTATTTCACTTTTGTGATTTTTTGACCAAGACATTTTTGTTTTTGTGTTGTAACTTCTACAGCAAAAACATCTTCACAAAAAAAAAAAAAAATTACACAGCCCAGTAAAATAATGCACAACCTTTGACTCTGTTTCCCATATTTCGTTTACCTTTGCTCTTTTGCTACTTTTTATTTAATTAATTCGCCCGCACCAAACATAGCTATACCGCCGCGATTATGAACATCAACACAAATCTAGCGGGTCAGAGGGCGCGGCGGAGGGTCCGCACACCACGCCACAATCACCGCGCGGGGAAGTCCGCGCAGCGCACGCGCACGGCGTCGGCGGGGCCAACACAAATAACAACACAGCCGTGCGCGCATCGCTGGCCTCTAACGATACCTCGTTTTGTGTGGACGACAACACCATGGCGACCAAAACACAGCAGCGAGCGGTCGAACGCGCCGCGCGTTTCGTTGTTGGGGCGGGCATGTGTGGTGATAAGTCACAACGCGTGTCGTGTGTCGATAGGTCGCTCATGTATATATGTGTGCTGATTGGTGGAGGGAGAGAAAAAAACCTGACGAACGAGGATAAACGCGTACACACACGACCGCACGCGCGCACACACACACGCACACACACACACACACACGTACAGGCGGCACGCGCCGTTTTACAAACACATTTTCCCACGTTGCGATCTAATCTTGAAATCATATCGGCATTTTGCGGTTATTGAAACTCGTGAAACGTATACATCAAACGGACCAAAAACACGGCAGGACACAAAAGAAGGCACACACACACACACACACACACACACAGAGTATACGTCACTCTCGAGAGACGAGCATCAATACTTCTTCTCAGAGAGCTGTGCAGACGGCTGACGTTGACAACAGACGGCGGTGGCGACAGAAAAAAAAGTCCGTTCCTAGTGATCAGGCCACGCGGCCCTCATCGCTCTACAAGTAAACATGTTCGAGCACTTAAAGTGTGAGCAGGCAAAACAGCGCGGGAAATTTTATAATTAAAAAAAAACTGACTTAGTCGCGGTCCACGTGTTAGTGTTTGAAGGCTTTTATAGGCACGAAAGTGTCCGAAGGCATTAAAATCATGTGAGTGCTAAAATTTGGCACCCTTGCGACATTTTAGTGCTTTTCCAGCGCGGGTGCGTGCCCCATCGCCTCTCGGCCTAAATTACATTATAAACCCAAGAAGGGTGTTGATTGAGATATCTTTGTTTTACCAGGGAAGTGGTCACGATAGTTGTAAAACGAGGAGTTGAGGTTGCATCAATTACAGTATACTTGTTTCAGTCAGCCGCGCGACGCCGCGTTCCCAGGAACCTGAACGCACGCTGGCGCGCCCACCGGCTCGGCTCGCACAGAGAGGGATTCGGTTCAACCCCCTGAAAGGGTCACCTCCCGGAACAGGTCTCGGTGGGTTATAGTCAGTCGTTACCCACTGACCTGGAGGCACTCGAAGCAAGGCGACGACGGGAGGAGAGCGAACAAAAAATAATTATCCCTGCTAAAATTTTTGCGTCACACGATTGACATCAGCAGTACAGTCTGCGCCCGCAGCGAAAAGTTTTCCTGTTCCTTTTTGCGGGCTCCATTTAGCTTGATTCATGGGGTTATCGGAGGCGATGATTGTGCGGGTATGATGTGCTGAATTAATAAACGAGCTGATTGCTGACCGCACCCGGCTAAACCTCAGCAAAGTATGTGTTGCTGACCGCACGCCTGAGTGTGGGCGGGGCAGGGCCGAAACCACAACGCAAATCGTCGGGTCGTAGTGCGTGCTGCGTGCTGGCATCAACTGCGGTGTAAAACTGCTTTACGTTAGTGTTGCACTATACTTTACGCGCTCATAATAAAGACCAACAATAAGTGCTCCACATCTGGAAAGCACCGTGATGTGCACTGAGTAAAATGTTTCGTTGCAGCCCAAAACTTTGATACCCACGACCAAATTTTGTACGGTCAGTCCGGCTTAGTCACAGGCATGATAATCTTATAGTTGCTGTAACCGAAATTTTGGTTGCTGTAATCAAAAGGTTAGTTGCTGCGACTAAAATTTAGATGGCCATGACTTATCCGGACTGATCCGAACAATTTATGATGGCTGCAACGAAACATTTCTCGTGTGTGTGTGTGTGTGTGTGTGTGTGAGGAAAGGCCGAAATGGCATTGCCCAGTATCCAGCTGGTGGAACCGCCACAGGGCGTTCGCCAGGGAGGAAAATAACCGACTGCCTAGCCGTAACTCCGCGTTACAGATCGTGGCCGAACTGCCATTTATACACCACGCGGATAAAAAGATAAAGAAAACAGCGAATAAGAAAAATTGAATCATTATAGTTGTTCGTGCGTTTCCCGTCTTTCTGTAAGGCTAAGCTGCTTTCGCGAGCGGACAACTTTTGCGCTCTGGCGCGTGGCTGCGCGTGGCTTCGAACGTCATGGAATAAGCGGTTGTTCTTTTGCCAATTAGAAGGACGCTTTACTTTAGTGCGGGATGAAAGAGAAGATGAGAATAGGAGAGAGATGAAGACAGAAGAAAGAGAAGAAGATGGAGAGAGAGAGAGAGAGAGAGAGAGAGAGAGAGAGAGAGAGAGAGAGACTGAGGGGTGAATAGTAAGCGCAGAGCGCACTCAGCGCAATTACTACAATTGAGTTTGGTCTTGTGTCGCATACTTTGCATATGAAAGCCAAGCCAAGTGATTTTGCGAGTCACTCTCATTTTTGCAAGGACTGGCTCGACCAAAAAAAATTTGCTACAGAAACAAAATGGGGAAATGGATGGGGAGGGAGTGTCATAAAAAACAGCAAATTTCTCGCGTGATAACCGGAAGGAGGCCCGTGTGACTAACGGTGTCTGGGGTGTGATTAATAACGCCCTCCTTCATGCTTCCTGCGCAGCCGCTGACGTCAGGGGTGGTCGGGCTCCATGCGCGGAGGGGCTAAGAACGCGTCGCAGAGGACGCCGTCCCTATCGTGACCAAGGTCGGTCGCTGCACCGCGTATCGGCGGGACGGGTTACGAGTTGCGAACATCATCGCTAGTTGGTCATATCCGAAGTCGTGCGGGCAAATGTCTATTTCAGTTTGGATGGCATAAACGGCCGGAAGTATCAAAATTGAACGCTAAATGTTATTTCCATTCAAAATGAAATGCCAAATCTTTAGATTCGAAGCGGTAAACCAAATCCTTTGCATTCAAATTGGAAGGAGTGAAGCTCTGATTCGCCCTCTTTTCTTCCTTCAAGTTGCCGCCGCGTCATACACGTCAAATAAGCTTGCCGTGCGGTCATGGCCCGCTGCACCCCGCGCTGTGAGCGAGGGAAACGGCCGAGCGGGACTTGTCCGTCATTTGAGTCGGCTGAATAACAACAACACATACGGCAGCGTCGCAGCGTGCGCGCCTGCAGGGCCCCGGGAGGGCCACACCGCCTGCGACCGAGGGCTGCTGGGTTGCCTATGCTCCCTTCAGTGGGCGCTAGAGCGCTGCAGCAGTGCCTCTCGCTCCGCCTCCTTCTGGACAAAAAAACAACACATATTTATTGCATACTTTCTCTGGCGGGCAGGATCGTCCACAGATCTCGTTCGTCTTTCCCAGATCCATATGCGTCAATTATTGACGGGACGGGAGCTCGGCGCCTGCGAGACTCGGCGTAGGCCACCCCGCGGTACACGCATGCACAGCAGGCAAGATGTTGCCTACCTACCAGGCGCCATGCCAAAGGCAGCCGCTCCGGATCTGCGCAAGGCCATACTGTTAAAAGAGGAGGCGCCTTGAGGCTCATGTGTGGCCATTTGGACACTACTTTAAGACTGGCAAGGAAAATCCGGTGTCCGATTGGAAGATTTTTATACAGATCTATCTGTGCCGGGGAGCGGCAAACCATTGTGGGAGTTCCTCAAAGTTTGCCCCTTTTCCTAAAAAAAAAACCCCAAAAACAAAACAAAAAAACAAAAACAGACATGTTTTTACCGTGTGATGAAGGCGTGTGCATAGATGAGACACTACTTATAGTGGTGGGGAACCTTTTCAGGTG